TGGTACCTACAAGTTGACTCAGCTCTAATATAAGATTATTACACTTGGATCCGGCTCTACTGCGATCCTCTTACAGGTGGATCCACCTCTACAAGGATACCATTATAAGTGAGTCCACCCCTTAAATGATTGTGTTAGAGATGGCACCACCTCTGCTGAGACCCCATCATAGCTGGATCCCATCAGGTACATACGGCCTGTCTGGGATCTGGTACAAGCCCCATACGGCACGTATCGGCTTAGATACAGATCCCTGTCCGAGTGCTGTTGCAATTGTGGGTGTGAGGGGCGGGCGGGGCCCCAGTGTAGGACTGCATCAACAACAACAATCATGTCAAGACTGTTCGCATTCATCTGCTCGGATGTCGGTGTACGTGTATTTCCCAAATCCTTGATACCCACCGTCTTCGTTTTGGATCGTACCCCTTTGGGGGGGTACGTGTTCCTTCCCTGCAGGCCAGACCCAAAGTGGCGAGGCGGCCGCGGACCGTCGGCCTGGCCAGCGGCAGCGCGGATGGGCGGCGACGCGACCCCAAGAGAGACGGACAGGGGACCGACCACGCCGACGACGACGACGAAGACGACGACGACGGCGGCGGCGGCGGCGACGACGAGCGAAAGCGAGAGCGAGAGCGACAGCGGGGCCACGAAGGGCATGCGTATGGGGCCGCGAAGGGCGCGAACGAAGGGGGGGCCACGAAGGGCAGATAATGCGGGGCCACAGAGGGCAACGACGGGACCACTGAGGGTAGCAACGGGGCCACGTAGGACAGCGAGGGAGCAACAAAGGAAGACAGCGGGGCCAGGAAGGGCATGTATATGGGGCCACGACGAGCGCGAACGAGCGGGGGTCACGAAGGGCTGCAACGAGGCCACGAAGGGCTGCAACGGGGCCATGAACGGCAGCAGAGGGGGCCACGAACCGCTGCAACGGGGCCACGAAGGGCAGCGAAGAGGCCACTGAGGGTAGCAACGGGGCCACGTAGGACAGCGGGGGGGCCACGAAGAGCTGCAACGGGGTCACGAAGGGCAGCAAAGAGGCCACGAAGGGCTGCAACGGGGCCACAAAGGGCAGCGACGGGGCCACGAAGGGCTGCAACGAGGCCACGAAGGGCTGCAACGGGGCCACGAACGGCAGCAGAGGGGGCCACGAAACGCTGCAACGGGGCCACGAAGGGCAGCGAAGGGGCCACTGAGGGTAGCAACGGGGCCACGTAGGACAGCGGGGGGGCCACGAAGAGCTGCAACGGGAGCACGAAGGGCAGCAAAGGGGCCACGAAGGGCTGCAACGGGGCCACAAAGGGCAGCGACGGGGCCACGAAGGGCTGCAACGAGGCCACGAAGGGCAGCGAGGGGGCCACGAAGGGCTGCAACGGGTCCACGAAGGGCAGCGAGGGGGCCACCACGGGCTGCAACGGGGCCATGAAGGGCAGCGAGGGGGCCACGAAACGCTGCAAAGGGGCCACGAAGGGCAGCAAGTGGGCCTCGAAACGCTGCAACGGGGCCACGAAGGACAACGAGATCCCGATTTCTAAGTAAGCTGCGAAGAAGTCCTAAGTTTGAGTGCGACCCCTGGGTGCCTGAGTGTCGGGAGCGCGGCGCTTGAGTAAATTGCGGAGATTTCAACGCAACAGCGCGATTCTTGAGTAAATTGCAAACAAGTCTCCAGCGAGAGCGCGACTCCAGAGCGCCGAGATAGCGACTGCTGAATAATTCGTAAAGAAATCCCAGAAGCGAGAGCGCGATTCCTGATTAAAATGCGAGGAAGTCTTAGGCGGGAGCGGGGGTCCTGGCCAAATTGTGAGGATGTCTCAGGCGGGAGCCGTTGTTATTGCAGTCCGGGGGCCAACAACCCAGTTTGAGCCCCGTGAATGTTCCTTGCTTTTTCTCCATTGAAAAAAACACAGGGTACGAGCCCTGGGGGAAACACTTCAATTGAAAAACACAATGGTCGCAGGAGGGTGGGGATCAACAGTGATATATTGTTCAGTAGTGAGAGTTCAACCACAACAACAAGAACAATGATCCGAATCGCGGACTCTCTCTTCAACCACGCACCCAGGGACAATGAATGACCGTTCGGCCCCCTCACTCTGATCAGCTCGTGCGTGAAAGCAATAGCAGCAAACGGAAACGGTTCCTGCTACAACCGTGCATAGCCCAGCTAGGGGACGGCCCGACTGTCTGTGCATGGTCTCGGGCAGGCCGGTCGCATGCGGTTTGCCGACCGTTCATCCTGGTCTAATTCGCTCGAGTCCTCCCCTTCCTTCAAAATATCCGCCGACCCCTTGGGGATCATCGGCGTGTGAGATGCTTCCCCCTCCTCAAACCCATCCCCCCGGAGCCAGGTCCGATCGATTTGGAGGGGGGGGGCCGTCCGACCAAAGCTCACCAGGGGGGTCTGGCCCTTCCAGGGCTCCTTTTGGAGGTCCACGACAGCTTCTGGGGCCGCCCAAGAGGCCCCCAAGACGGTCCAAGAGGGCCTGAGACGCCGAAAGATCGTTCCAAGGCGCCTAACTTGGGCCGAAGACGGCCCACGAGGCCGCCAAGACGTTCCAAAAGGCCTCCCAGGAGGCCTCCAAAAGGCCAAACCCATGAAATTCCCGTGGGCAAAACGTACACTTCCAGCAGATACGATTTTTCCGCCTTCACAGCGCGGAAGCCCTTCCAAGATGCCTCCAAGACCGCCTTGAGACGGCCCCATCGGCTCCCAAGAAGCTCCCAACACGGCACATGAAGCGCCCAAAACGACCCAAAAGGGCTCCAAGACGGCCCCAAGAGGGGCCCGAAAGGGGGGCCACGAAACGAACATTCCAGCCGTCCGCCCCTAGAGGCCCCCAGGCGGCCACAAGAGGCTCCAAAAAGGCTTCCAGACGCCCCCAAAAGACACCCAAGAGGCCCCAAGAGGCTCCCAGAGGCCTCCAAGAGGCCCCAAGGAGCCCCAAGAGGCCCCCAATCGGCTTCGATATACGATGGTTCGGCCTTCACAGCGCCCTAAACCCTCCAAGATGCCTCCAAGACCGCCCTAAGACGGCCCCATAGGCTCTCAAACCAGAACGGGCACTTCGAACCGTCGGCTCCAAGACGCCCCCAACGTGCCCCAGGGACACCCAGGAAGCACCCAATAAAAATAAAGGGGTCGCCGGTGTGGCGTAAGCCTAAGAATAATCCTCGACCTTGTCCCCTTCCTCATCCCGCATGGTTCCTGCACTCATGCATCATTCCTCCTGTCTCCCCATCCCCCGCCTGTGGATGCGACGCCCCCCCGAGAGGATGGGCGGGCATCCCCCCAAAAAAGGCCATGTATCAAACATGGCGTGAGCAACCCTTGCTGCTTTTCTATTCCAGTGGCCTGATATTGGAAAAAAAACGCACGCCTGGGGCTCCAGGTAGTGCGGTGGGGGGAACATAGACTGTGTACTATTCCTACCCCTCCTCCTGGCGCACATCCTCCTTCTCCCTTCGTCGTCGGCGTCCTCCTCCTCCTCCTCCTTCTCCTCCTCCTCCTCTTCCTCTGTTCTGCCGACGTCCATTCTCCCGTGCATTTGTCAATTTTGTGAGTGTTTTTTTCTTCGATGATCCAGGATATTCCTCGATGGTCCGCGCCGCGAAAAAATGCACAGGTCCGAGCGATGCCAAGGTACATGCATCCTTGGCCAAGCCAGGAGGGTGTATATACTGCTCCTGGGCCCAGATGGGCCAGGCCTGGGGCAAAGGATATGCATGAATGGGGTCGGGACGAGGATAACGGTTTCTGACGCAGCACCTTGTCAAACACGGGAAGAATTCGCAAACGGGAGGCGGGAAAGGAAGATGGCGCTACACATCACCCGGGTGTGCGAGGCTGACAGACTGTCGTCGGAATGCGAAGGGCACCCGGTGAGCGCGGCACATCACGAATTGTCACAGTACACATCCTTGTACCTGATCCTACTCCGACTGCCACTCCCATTTCCCCGTCTTCCTCTTCCTCCTCCTCAACCCCGTCGTAATCATCATCACCGTCATCATCAGCATTATCATCATCAACATCATCGTCATCATCATCACCATCATCAGCATCATCACCACCACAATCAGCAGCATCATCATTACCACCACCACCACAACCATCATCATCATTAGCAGCGACAACATCATGATCATCGTCATCACGGACATGACTATGATCGTCAACATCAGCAACATCATCATGATCACCCTCATCATGTTCACCCTCAAGATCATAGTCACCACTACCACCATCTGCATCAGCAACATTATACTCGTCATCATTATGACCATTCAGCATAGGCAGCAACAACATCACCATCATATAAGCAGGCGCAGCATCATCGTCATCAGCATCATCATCAACAACATCATCAGCATCGTCAACATCCTCATCAGCCACAGCATCAACAGCAAAATCATCAGCAGCAGCATCATCAACAACATCAACATCATCAACATCATCAGCAACACCATCATCATATTCATCATCATCATCATCATCCGCAACATCATATTAATCATCACCATATCACAATCATCAGCAATATCTATCATCATACTCATCATATAAACCATCATCAACATCATCAGATGCATCACCATCATATTCATCATATTCGGCAGCATTATCACAAAAAATGACCCTCATCATCAGCATCATCAGCAACATGTTCATCATAATCATCACACGCAACATTCTCACCGTCGCCGTCGCCGTCATCATCGTCATCATCACCAGCATCAGCACCATCATCAGCTGCATCAACATCATTAGCGCCATCAGCAGCATCATCATCATCGTCGTCACCATCGTCATCATTATTATCATCATCATCATCATCATCATCATCATCATCAACATCATCCTCTGTTTCATTCCGTGCCTCGCTGTTGCTGTCGTGCTTCGGTGTCGTCGGGGAGGGGTGCGAACGAAATTGGGGGGATCCGCAGGAGCGGTAGGAGGGACCTTTCAGAGCGACGGAGGCACCCGGCCAGTCGCGCGGCTCCTGCGTAACCAGCGCAGACCACCGCGTGTGTAGATCCCACGGGAGCGCAGCGTGGCTGACGTCCCCGGCCTGCGAACGGCTCTAGAGGATGATGAAGGGGGGGGGCACGAGGTTTCGTACGCTGTCGTTGGTTCTCGGCAATTTTCCAGTTCCAGCCTCGGGGTGATCTCCGGCAGCTGTGCCTCGACGACAGCCTGCCAAGGGGCCCGATAAGTCCCGAACGACTGTGGTGAGCCGAGCTATGACCCAGAAACCAACGGGCAACGTTAGGAGGGCAGAGGAGCAAAAGAGGGGGAAGGCAGAGGAGGCGGGGGAGGGAGAAGGCATGGTGAGGGGGGAGGGGGGAGGCGAGAGGGAGAAGGAGGATGAGGATGATGATGATGAGGAGACCCCTTATTTCTCCTCCTCCTCCTTCACCACCTCCTCCTCCTCCTCCTGCTCCTCCTGCTCCCCCCTCCTTCTACCCTTCCCCCCTCCAAACCTTATCCCTCTTCCTCCGTCTCCCCCGCATCCGTCGCCGTCATCACCTCCGTTGTAAGAATGGTCCGAGAGATGTGATATTCACATCTCCCCTCAGCCACCTCTGTTGCACAGAAGTACTGAACTCGGCCCACCGTCGTAAGCGGATGCAAAATTTTAATCGCACTGGCGCTGCCGCTGGCACAAAGTGACAAGACCCCCCCACCCCACACCAGAGCCGAAGCCAAGGCGGTGCAAAGGAGAAGGTCGCCCTGACCCAGCGGCAGCCGCGCTTGAAGCTACCACATTCGTAAACCATGACGCTACGGCACCGAACTCTGCGAACACCCGCTCTCCACAAGCCTTGTCGATGGCGGCAGGCGAGCAGGTGAGCGGGCCCGTTACGTCCTCCCACCCCCACCGCCGCCATCGTCGCCCGCCGCCGTTTCGAGCAGGTGCCCTCATGGCATCCGACAGGGGGGCAGAAGGCACCACCCGACTGCTCCGCCGTCGCCGTCCCCAGAAAGCCCTCTTTTGTCAGTCCTGTGGCCCCGCCAGGGCCCATGGAGGCTGGAGGCCGCAGATGGCCAAGACCTCGCCGCGTGATTGCTGTTTGCGTCGAGAGGGGTTGGGATCTCCGCCGCCATCGCCAGGAAGGCGAAAATATGCACCTACCAAGGGCCCAAGACTGGCCAGGACCAGGTCAGCCTGAACCTGGGCCGGCCAAAGCTCTGCCGCGAAACCCAGCCGGCAGCAGCTCCAAAACCGGGGTCATCGGGGGGCGGAAAGGGGGAACCGGCTCGGCCCCACGTGGCTCCCAAACTGGGGCAAACTAGAGGGGCCCCCTGTTAGCGCTGGCCGCGCCGCATCGTCGACGCATCACCGTTGCATCACTGCCGAAATCGGGCTCCACATCGAGCCGCATCGGCGATGCGGCCCAATCCCCCGACCCCACTCGTGAGGCATACAGTTAGGTCGGGCATGTCCTCCTACAGGCAGATTTTGAGCGAAGGAAAATACATAGCTTTAAAAGAAAATGCCCACATAACCTTAAGTAGTCAACCAAACTTCCCCTGGCACTTTTTTGATTCTTCTTGAATATCCCAAGCCTAGAGCTTCTTGAGCGCCGAGACCAGCACCCTGCGCAGAAGGACCCCCCACCCCAGACGCGCCGCCGCCGGCGCGCGCCCCTCGAAGAGAACCCTGGGGGCCCGGCGCGGCCTGGCCCCGCCGCCGCCACCGCCGTGGCCCTCGTCCTCGCCCTCGCCGTCGTCGTCGTCCTTCTCCGATTCCTCGCCGTCGTCGTCGTCCTTCTCCGACTCCTCGTCGTCGCCGCCGCCGCCGTCGTCGCCGTCCTCGCCGTCCTCGCCGTCTTCGCCGTCGTCGCTGTCATGGATCGACGAGGGCAAGAGACTTCTGCTGCTCCTCGACTCGCGCTGGAACTTCAACGATCTGCTGCAGGTTTACCTGGGTACCTCTGGATGTGTCTGGATTTACCTGCATTTACCTCGATTCGGCTGCACGGAAGGGTGACCCCAGGCAAGAGGGACCTTCAGTGAGCGGATTACGGGGACGTAAGGTGGCCTAGCCCAAGCGCGCAAGCAGCCACTGTCGCATCCCGCTCAGAGATCGTGGGGACCCACACGAGCCCGCACCAAAGGTCACTCTGGCGAAGGGCCCCTCTTACGTGTACACGACAAGAAACCTTCCACAGGAAACCCAACCCTGAGACTCCAGGACGCCCACTGCTGTTTGGCGTGGGAACGTCGCGCTGTCAACAGCAAAAAACCATCGACGCCCAAGAATCCCAGGGCACCCTGGAGGCAAGCCGGGTGTCTATTGGCAAGGCTTCCACTGCAGTCGAGGGATTTACCTCGATTTGATAAAAAGAAACAACGCCGTAAACATGAGCTTTTGGCGCTCCGCACGGGATCCTGGATCCGCGCCAATCCGCGCCAAACCTCCCCTCCCATTTTGGACGCCCGAAATGGGTACGGAAAAAATGTGCACAATGCCCAACAGCAGATGTTGTCCCAAACCAACAGCGGCCGCTGATGGGCAGGCGGCCTTCTGTCTCACATGGACACAAGCCGCGGCGGCGCGGACAGCGAGTCCTGTTCAAAGTGAACAGGAATTGCTGTTGGGCATTGTACCCATTCCTTCGGTACCCATTTCGTTCGTGCAGATCCCTGGCGCGAGGAGCGCGCAGGGGACGGCGCCGGAGGCGACGCCAGGGGGGCCCCAGCGCGGATCCAAGACATCAGCGCGGAGACCAAAAGCTGATGTGTATGGCGTTGTTCTTCTTCGCGTGACTCCCGCCAGTCGATCGGAGAGCCCTCAGTCGAGGAGACGTCAGACTCGGGCACGGGGGACTCGTGTTGGCCTGACGCGGACATCGTGAAAATGACGAGGCCCAATCTGGAATTTGACGCGAACTCCCGCTGCAAACATCCCACGAACACCGGACCGTCAAAATCCAGGACGCGCTCGTCAAGACACTTCGGCAAAGCCGAGCTCTGCTTTACTCGAGTCTTACGCTTCCCGGACTCAGGGACTGGAGGGGCGGGCGTTGCGCCCGCGGTTGCGCTCGCGGGGCCGCCCTCCAGACAGAGGGAGGCGGGGGGCCTCTCGCGGAAGCCCCTCCTGTTGGGGGGGGGGAGGGGGGCTCGCCCGAAGCCCCAGGGGGCCCCGCGAGCAGACAGCGGCGGGCCAGCAAGAATGCGTGCGCGAGCACTTTCGGAGCTCGGCTGCCCCGACACGCGACACGCAGCACGTACAGTAGGGGCTCGACGACGAGAACCCTTTCACGGGAAACCCAACCCCGAGAGACCCCAGGACGTCCATGGACCTGGGATCGTCGCGCCTTCCATAGCAAAGCCATCGAAACCCAGGAAACCCAGGGCACCCTGGAGGCAGGCAAGGGGCTCCTTGGCATGGGCTCCCGCTGTAGCATGCGGGCACGGAGCTCAACGCGCAGATGGAAAACGCACGCCTGGCGCGGCCCGTTCGCCAAGACGTCGAGACGTGGGCCACCGCGCCGAGCCTACTCGCAACGTGCCGACACGGACGGCCTGAACACGGCACGTGCTGCGTCTCCAAACGGGCGAATCAGGGCAGCCGGGTTTCGGAGGTCCGAGCGGACTTCCCGGGACGGTGCACGGAGCCCCCCGCTGGTCGGGCTGCGGAGGCCCTCAGTCCTCGACCCTCGACCCTTGAACCCCCTCCATCCTCCATCCTCCACCCTCGAACCTCGAACCTCGGACCTCGATCCTGGAACATCAATCCTCGAACCTACGTAGATCCTGGAACCTCGATCCTCGAACCTCGACCCTCGAACCTCGACCCTCCACCGGGTCAGGCAGAGGCCAGCCCCCCACGGAGCGATTGCGGCGCGCAGAAGATCATTCAGGTGGCCACATGTGACCCTACGCCCACGCCCAACGATTTCTGAGGACGAGTGGGGGTTCACTCCGTTTGAGACCTCCCGAACGAAGTGACCCCCCACACATCGAGTAGGGTATCGACTACATAACTGATCTACCCCAGAATTGACCCCTTGCCCCGACTCCGCGAAGAACACGTAAACTGCTCCGTAGACCTACGGAGCATTCTACGAGTTCTTGTTGTAGATTCGAGGATTGCATCGATTCTGGATGAGATCATCTCTGCAGTCGATCCCCTGCTCGAGCCCACCGCTTTTCTCATGGCCTCGCGAGCAGGTTTGCGGCTCCCCCCCCTCACCAGCCGCCGCTCCCGCTCGCCCCCTCCGGGGTCGTCTGGGGGCCAGGGGCAACGCTCGGGGGGGACACGGTAACAGCTCGACCACAAGAAACCTTCTGCAAGGAACCCAGGCAGCCCAATGCACCCTGGAGGCAAGCAGAGTGCTTCTTGGCACGGGCCCCCACTGCAGGCTCCGAGGGGGCACGCGCCGACGCCGAATCGCCCCATTCCTCGATCGCCCCCGCCCCCCCGAACCCAGGAGCGTGCGGCTTCGCCCTCGGGGGCCGCTCGTCGATCAATCGGCGATGCATCGGGGGGGGTGGGATCAGGGGGGAACGGGCGGTGCGCGGCGCCGCCCAGGGACGGGGGGGGGGGGACTCTGCGTTTTGCCGCACAGCCGCGTGCGCGCCGCCAGCCTGGAGGCGCCCCAGGCCCGCCGTCCAGAGCACAGCGGCGGATGGGCGGAGGCCGCGAGGAGGCCGCGGTTGCGGCTGTGCGCGGCTGCTGCCAGTCGGCAGCGGCCTAGTCCTCCTCGTCCTCCTCGTCCTCCTCGTCCTTCGTCCCCCTCTACCTCGTCCTCCTCTTCCTCGTCCTCCTCTTCCTCCTCATACTCCTACTCCTCCTAGTCCTCCTAGTCCTCCTACACTTCCTCTGCCTCCTCCTCCTCCTCCTCCTCCCCCTCCTCCTCGTCCTCGTCCTTATCGTCGCATCCCTCAATTTCATCCTTCCCCCGCAGAGACAGACGGGCAGTGCTATCAGCCCCTCTGGGCTGAAATGGCTTAGAGCGGATCCTTCGAACTCCTCGCTCCCCGTCGGGGAGGAATTTACTCATACCCCTCCCCCCTCCTCCCTCCCGCAAGATGGCGTCCAAGCTGGCCCGCCATAGCCTAAGATGTATCGAGATGGCCTTCGGCATGCCTCCAATATACCCGAATGCAGCCCCAAGGCGGCTCAAAATGGCCACGCAGCTTCAAGGATGCCCCCGAAAAACAAGAATCCTTCAACAGCCGAAAGTGTGCTCAGTGATGCTGGCCTCGGATGCCGAAAGATGGTCTGCAAGCTGGCGTAAGAAAATCCAAGATGGCTCAAAGTGGCTCGGGATGGCTTCCGGCATGCCTCAAAAGGTCCCAAGACGGCTCTAAGGCGGCTCGAGGTGGTCTATGCCTCCGAGAGGCGAAGGTTAAAACATTTCCACGCTGTCGCTTCCGATAGGCTTAAGATGGCTCCAAGACACGCCCCTGAGAGAACCAACGGGGTCAAATAAGTGCTCCAATGCGGCTCCAGAGGCTCCCAGGAGTGCCCCAAGAGCGTCTCAAGAGCGCCAGAGAGCTCCAAGGGGGGGCGAGGTATTGATGGAGCCACCACCTAGCTGTTGATAAATGGCCCCCAGGGTGGCCCCAGAGGGCCCCCACGCCCCCACGAGAGGCCAAAGAGACCCCTTAAAAGCCTCCTGGAACTCCAAACAGAAAACCATTGAGTGCGTCAAGATCGCTCCAACAGGCCACCCAAGAACTCCCAGACCGAACGATCCGGGCTCCACGGAAACCCAAACGCCACCTGACTTGCAATGTGTACAGACGAAAGCAGGGACGCAGAGGCGCAAGAGCAGGAAGAGGTTTCCGGTGGGAAACAAACGCAAGAAAAGTAAGGAGGAGAGGGGAGGAGAGATAGGAGAGAAGAGGGAGGACAGAGGGGTGCACTGAGGAGGGAAGAAACGAAGCTGAAGGACACGGACGAGAAGGTGGAAGATGTGAAGGAAGGGAAACAACAGGAGCAGAGCGCTAGGTTAAGACGGGAACGACAAGAAGAACCTGTCCGTGGGGTTCCTTCTCGAAGCCGACATCCCTGCGGATGGTCTCGACGTCCTGCTACAAAACAACTGGCGATCATGGCGCGAGAGGCGGAACGCCTCCAGCTTGCACTGGGCTGCGGAGCCCCACTCCTGGAGAGAACGGCTTCCCGGTCTATGCCATGCGGTGTAAGCTGCGTGGAGAGCCGCGCACCACGCGCCCGCGAGGAGGAGGAGGAGGAGGAGGAGGAGGAGGAGGAGGAGGAGGAGGAGGAGGGGGAGGAGGAGGAGGAGGAGGAGGAGGATAGGAGGAGGAGGAGGAGGAGGAGGAGGATTGAGGAGTAGGAGGAGAAGAAGGAGGAGGAGGACAAGGAGAAGCGAAGGAGAAGGAGGAAAGGAAGAGGAGGAGGAGGAGGAGGAGGAGGAGGAGCAGTAGCAGGAGGAGGAGGAGGAGGAGGGGAGGAGAAGGAGGAGGAGGAGGAGGAGGAGGAAAAGGGAAGAGGCGGTCCTACTTGATGTGCCGATTTTACACCACCAAGACCATAGGTAGGAGAGGGAGGATGAGGAGGAGGGGAGGGAGAAGGAGGAGGAGGAGGAGGAGAAGGAGGAGGAGGAGGAGGAGAAGAAGGCGGACCTCCCCATCCTCCCTTCTCCCCCGTCCTACATGTGGTAATGGTGGTGGAACATTGGCCCATCACGAATACCTGTCCGATTGCTTGAGGAAGATCCGGCACCGTGCCTGCGGCACGCTGAGGCGTGGAAGAATGCCAAGGGCTGCCTGGCAAGGTTCTGTCATCTTCCAAGGGACCTCCCCATGAATATCCTCCCGGTCACACCCAGCGGAATGCGTCGCCCCTATTACCGGGGTTCCCTGGGCGGCCATGGCGCCTCCCTGGGGCTCTCCTAAGCTTCCGTGACGGCCCAGGAAGCACACCCAGGCCGCCAAAGAGTAGTCCAAGAGCGCTCCAATACGCCCAAGATGGCCCCAAGACGGCTCAAGAGGCTCCAAAAAAGCCCCATGAGCGCTCGAAGAGGACCCTCAAGAAGGCCCGAAGATGCAACCATCATCGATTTTAATCGCGCTTTTTCAATTTTTCACGTTCTCGCCTTTTCGAGCTTCCGACGCTCCAAGACGACCCCAGGGGCCCCCAAGACACCTCCAAATCGGTCCAAGAGGCCCCCAAGAGGGCCCCATGACTGCCCAAGGACCCAAAACGGCACAGGAGGCGCCCAAGACAGACCAATGGAGCCCGAAGACGGCCCCAAAAAGGGCTTAAAGAGGGGAACACACACACAAACACACACACACACACACACACACACCGACAATTCCAGCCTTCCGCCCGAAGAGGCCCCCAGGAGGCCCCAAGAGGCCTCCTAGAAGCCCCAAGAGGCCCCAAAGAGGCGCCAAAGAGGCCCCAGAGAGGCCCAAAATAGTCCCCAAAGAGGCCCCCACGGCCCCCTGAGAGGCCTCAGAACTGCCTCCAGCAGGCCCCCGAAAGGCCTCCCACGACATCCCAAACATCCAGGAGGCATATAGCCCACAACCCAGGCAAGGTGGCGGGACTTGCCGCAGGCAGCTGGATAAGCGAGAACGCTTAAGTGCAAGCACTACCCATCGGTCGGGAGTAGGTAGAACCATGAAGCAGGAAGGCTTTGAAAGTAGATTGGGTCTCCGCCCGCCCCCCTGAAGCGGAGGGAAACGGGGAAGCCACTCGATCCTTGACGTAGGAAGGTGCTCAAGGGAGCGTGGAATCTGGGAGCCCAGCAATAATTACCTGCTTTCAACGACCGCCGATGGGCCATTGGGGAACAGAACGTCCGAGGCTCTGGGTCGTCGGACGACGGCGCGGCCTCGCCGCGGCCCCCCGTGCGCGCCGCCAGACACCGCGGCACCGCAAGCACGGGCTCAGTCCGCCTTCTCGGGGGACGCCAGCTCCCCACTCCAGGTTCACCCAACTTCTCGGGGGTGGCAGAAGGTGTCCTCGGCCCAAGGCGTGCCCAGGACCCCCCCCTCGGAGGCCCAGCCCTCAGAGGCCTCGACCCGCTCCCCTGGACCGGGTCTTCCCTCCCGCGCCCTTTTTGTCGCCGGCCCCGAGGGCCGGACGAGGGCCTCCATGGAGGACGACGATTGGAAAAAGCCTCCCGCCCTGACTTCTTCATTTCCCGAGGGGGCCTATAGGACTTGTATGGAGCAACAGGAAGCGGCGGAAACAATAACTGCCGGCGCGCCGCGCGAGGTTCTCGGATCCGCGCGCCGGACCCCCCTCCCTGGCGCGCGGAGCGCACCAGGGGCGGGGCCCATCCAAGAACCCCGCGCGGACCGCCACCAGGTTGTGTTTCTGGCGCTCTTGTGCTGTCATCGTCGAAGCTCTCCACTCTGCGGGCAAAACTTACACCCATATCCAGTGCGTTTTGGAATTTCCTGGAAGGGGCGCCACAAGGCCGAGGCGCACTGGATACAGATAAAAAACCGAGCCTTTTTGGGGCAAGACTTTAATCCATATCCAATGCGCATCATGTTTCTGGGGAAGAGAGCGTCGTGGACTTGTTGGTAAGGGGTGCCACAAGGCCGAGGATATGGATTAAAATCGAACCTTCTGGGGTAAGATTTTTTTCCATACCCAGTGCGCCTCATGTTTCGGGGGGAAGAGAGCCCGAAGCTCCAAGACACACTGGATGTGAAAATAACCATTGCCCGCATCCACTTCTGCGCCGCCCACCTTCTCGGGGGGCGGGGTGCCACGGGCGTCTCCCTGGCCCACAAGGCGTGCCCAGGACTCCCCCGGGGAGGCCCAGGCGGCCTCCAGAGAGCACCCATCACGGGGCCCAGAGGCCACCCCTCCGCGGTCCTCCAAAGGGCCCCAGAGGCCTGGGGGCACCTCGGGTTAGGGACCGCGGGCCCCTAAAAAAATGCACCACCGCTACCTCCATTCCTCTAAGTTGGGCCTGTCCCCCTACAGGCCGATTTTGGACGAAGAATTGAACATACCCCCCCTCCACCACATAGAAAATACTGTAAAACCGCTCAAAAATTGTCAACAAATAGTCCCCAGGCTGTTTTTCTACTATTTTTGAATATTCCCCCCATAGAGGGACTCGCCCGACTTAACCATTCCTCCACATTCCTCCACCCTCCTCTTCCTCTCCCCTTTCCGTGGGAGAGAAGGGGGGGGGACGAGGGAGGTGATGGTGGTGCGTAGTCGTGGAAGCCCCGTAGGGACACCTCTGGCAACACCCGAACGTCGCGCCCTCGCGCCCCGCGGTGTGCGGCGCGCGGCCCCCGAGTCGAGCCGGAGTCGGACTCGAGTCGAACTTGCGCCCAGTTGGGGTCGAGCCTGGAGTCGAACAGGCCCGCCAGGTGGGCCCCCAGGAAGGTCCCCCAGGACGAGCACCCGAGAGGGGCGCCCCTCCGGCCCAGGCCGCGCTGCGCGAGGCGCGGCCACCTCCTGCCAGCCTGGAACACATCCCTGTCCCTATGTTGGGCATCTCCTCATCACGATGCCGATCTTGGGGATTCCCTTCTCTTTTGAGGGCGCGTCCCTAAGATTGTCATCGCCTTTCGGCGTGTCAATCTTAGGGATAGGGTTCGGTCGGGCGTGTCCCCCTACACGGAGATTTTCGACGAAAAATTAAAAATACTCCAAATATCCACCAAAAAGGTCAACAAATACTCAAAAATAATCCCCAAACTATGTTTGGACTATTTTTTATGATTGTTTGCTTATTTTTGTATTATTTGTGGGGTATTTTTCATTTTTCGTCGAACATAACGCTGCATGGGGGACAGGCCAGACTTACTCTCAGGGATAGGGATAAGTCCGAGGCTGGTAAACCTCCGCGGCCCCCGGTGCGAAGGCGAGGAGCGCGGAACCTCGGGCCGAGGCCCGCGCCGCCCAGACCCCGGACGTCCTCCTCCTCCTCCCTCCTCCTCCTCCTCCTCCTCCTCTCCTCCTCTCCTCCTCCTCCTCCTCCCTCCTATCCTCCTCCTCCTCCTCCTCCTCCTCCTCCTCCTCCTCCTCCTCCTCCTCTCCTCCTCTCCTCCTCCTCCTCCGCCTCCTCCTCCTCCCGCGGCTCCCCGGAGGCCTCTTCGGTGGCAGCTCGCGGGCGCCTCCCCTACCATCTTGTCGGCCCTCGCGAATCGGCGCGGCATCGACGCCAGATCTCTGAGCTCAGCGACGCAAAATAGGCGCGGATCGACGCGAGCTCGGCGCTACATGCCTCACCGACTCCCACGCGCGAATCCACGCGGATCGACGCGAAGGACGAGGTAAGAGGGTACACGAGGCTCCCACGATTTGCTACCGGAGGTCTTCATCCCCTCCCCGGGACCAAGACTCGCCCCGAGTCGTTCTCGACGGTTCTGGGGCCCGGCAGGGGCCTCGGGAGGCCGAGAACCGCCCGGAGCCTTGCGTCGCGAGTTCTCGCGACCGCGCGAGGTGGCCAGGGTCTGACCATGAGGAGGGGGGGGGGCCTCGTTTGTGTGGAGCAGGGAGCAGGGTCCGACCGTCCCGGCATTCCTATAAGCCTACCACGACGTGTTCTTAGAACCAAAGAGAGTGTTCGAGAACAAAGGGAAAGTTCTCAGAACAGGAAGCCAACGTACTGAGCGAAGACAGTCCCAGCCAGAATAATCTGAGAACATTTCGTGCGAAGCACAAGTGGCCCTGTACGCATTTCTTGGTGGGTCTGTACGCAGGCCAGGACGCTTCGCCACTGCTCTAAAAGAAACAAATCAATAAACATAAACTTTTGGCGCTCCGAGCAGATTTCTTGGACCTGCGCCAGACCCTCCTTCCTGGCGCGCGGAGCGCGCCAGGGGCGGCGCCGGAGGCGCCGCCAGGGAGGCCCCAGCGCGGATCAAAGAAATCCGCGCGGACCGCCAACAGTTTATGTTTATGGCGTTGCTTCTTCTTCGATGCTCGAGTACAGCTCGATGCTCGAGTAGATGGGGTCGGAGGGTCGAGCCGCATCGGCGATGCATCGCCGATGCATCGGCGATGCATCGGCGACGTCGGCGATGCACCGGCGACGTCGACTTGGGCTCCACATCGGGCTGCATCGGCGATGCATCGGCGATGCGGCGCGACCTGTCGACCCCATCTACTCGGACCCCCTCTGTCGGGCGCGCGCAAACATGAATTAGCGATCCATGGATTTGGCGCACGGTCGCCTAATCCATGGATTCGGGGAGGCACCTTCCCCAAAATGCGGCCAATGCCGCCTCGGTCGGCGGAAATCCGCGATTTCCCCGCCGGTCACCAATCCACGCCCCCCTTGATCCATGTTTGCAATCGTCTGATACTCGGACCCCAGCTGGAGGCCTGGAGGAAAGCTGGCGTCCCCCCGCCTTCACGCCCGGGATGGTGCCCGAGGCAGCCGGGCTGCGCCCCGAGCCCGCCCCTTTCAGCTGCTCGCGATAGCTGCATATCTGCTTCTGGGGCCCCCGGCCGCCTGGCCGGGCCCCGAGCTCGGGGCCAGGGCTCCACAGGGCAGGATGTGGCACGCGTCAGTTGGGGGATGGGGTGTAAGGGAGGGGGAGGATGGGGAGGGGGAGGTAGAAGGGGGTGACGAGACGGAAGATGGAGGAGGAGGAGGAGGAGGAGGAGGAGGAGAGGGAGGAGGAGGAGGAGCAGCAGGAGGAGGAGGAGGAGGAGTGGGAGGAAGAAGAGGCGGAGGAGGAGGGGGAGTAGGAAGAGGGGGACGAGGAGGACGAGAAGGAGGAGGGGGAGGAGGAGGAGGAGGAAGAGGAGGAGCACGGGGAAGAGGGGGAGGGGGGGGGAGGAAGGAGGACAAACACAAGGACATCCGCATGAGGGGGGAACGTCAGAGCACCTAAAAGGGTGATATGCGCACGATTGCCTGAATACGAAGCGCTTGGTCACACTACATTGGCCCCCAGCTCTCACTACGGCTGGCAGGGGGCAGACCCCGTAAGAGACGCTCGCTACCTTACATCGCGAAAACCCTCGTCAGCGCGGGGGGGGCAACTGCCGGCCCTGACTGCGCGCCCTCGCGGAGGGGGGCGCGCGGGCTTAGCAGGGCGCCCAAGCCAAGGGGGGGGAGGAGACGACGACACGACCCCAAAAAGAGGAAAGAGGGGAGAGACGGAAGGCCCGTGACCCCAAACTGTTGCTGGGGGGCTCCTGCTACTTCTACATTTTGAGTTCCGTGCTCCGCTCTTGAACTCAGCTCACTTCTCGGTCGTTCCGAAAGATGCTCCATGTGATGTATATGTGCTCTATCCCGCGGCGTAGCTCATTTCCCCCCTCGAGGCGTGCGAGGTAGAGCACCCTGGAAGTCACTCTCATAGATGGGGCCAATGAGGAGCACCCATGTGGGCATCATGATGAGAATTTGGTTTCCTCCCACCATGCAGATGTGCACCTGAAGGTGCTCCACACAGTACGTAGCATTGCGATGGCAGTGTTGGCGCACTGTTGTGCCCATGTAGTCTACCATGAGTAGCACTCCGAGAATTTCGCTAATGCGTCCCTTGGCTGCCTGTCGGCACGACCAGCTTACAACTTACCTAGATCAGCGCTCCGAAGAACCTCGCAAATGCTCTCTCTTGGCAATCTGCCGGCTCCAGCAGGTGCACTCACTGGCGGCCGCTCGAGCTGGCCGTCGTCGTCTCCTCGACGATCCCGGTGCCATCCAGCATGGTCTGGGCGCTGTCCTTGAACTTCCGGCGCCCCTTCAACCCCTGCGCGCCCTCTGGGCCCATATTGTCCTCGAACTTCAGCTCACCCATGGCGACGTGCATTAGTTCGTGGAGTGAATCCTCATCGTTCTTCGCGGTCTTAATCGCTTGCTCGCGCCTGATCTGCACAGTAAAGACCTTCTGCCCCTCCCTCTCTCTCTCTCTCTCTCTCTCTCTCTCTCTCTCTCCCAGTGGTCCACTGCGCGCCTCGCGATGAGGTCGCAGGCTCCGGTCTTGTGCGCATAGCCCCGCTGGGCTCATCTTCTTGGCCGCGTCGGAGAAATCGAAGTGGCGCAACTTGATGGCGTCGTCGAATTGCTGCGGCAGCCTTTCCGCAATGAGCGCTTGCCATGCGTTTCCCACTCTCAGCTCCACCACCATCGATGGCCCGCTCTTGAACTGGAGAAGCTCGCTCTCGCATCCGATATTTGACAACTTCTTGTAGTCTGACCCACGCGCGTCCTTCATTTGCTCCACCCATTTCGCCATGAGCACGTCCTTTGGGTGATTCTCCCGCGTCTTCACTAACGGCATCCAGTCTACCTTGCACCGGGACTGACACTGGTCACTCCTCGATATGGTACCGGGGCGTCTCCGCCACAACTTGTTCGGGAATGCGAGCCGACACGAGCAATATCCTCTCCTTGCTCGCCCCGTCCAGCGCCCCTCCTGCATTCGTTGAACAGCTGCATGTTGTCGCTCCAATCGTCCGCGAAGTCCAATGCCTTGAGATACTCTGGCTGCTGCTCGCCCTTCTCCTTTGCCGTCTTGTAGTTGCCGATGTGCCGCGTATCTCTCTGTCCCTCTCTCTCTCTCTCTCCTTCTCTCTCACTCTCTCTCACTCTCTCTCTTTCTCTTTTTGTTTCCCTCTCTCTCTCTCTTTTCATCGCGTTTTCGTCATGCGGGCCCATGTCCGCGTACTTTTCGAACGGGGTGTTACATGCTTCAGCGCGTCGGCGGGCCGCCGCCATTCCGGCTCACGTTTGCTGAAGGCTGGAAATAATCATCCATTCATTGTTCCACCTTCCAGCGGCGCCCTCGCCGTCTCTTTGATTTCGCGATCTCGATATGCTTTCTGTGATTGCGAGATTTCTTATTTGGGCCTCCTTCTTCTGCCAACTGACTTCGAGCAACTTTGACTTGTCCAAGTGCCTGGGCGGCCCGCGCAGCTCCTTTCGCCTTCTGCGTGTGTCCCCGGCAAACCTGCTCTCTCGCGACATGCCGTTCTCCTCCACGCAGCGCCCTTTCCTCTTCGCCCCAGCCCCCCCGCTCGCCCCCCCGCAACTCCAGCTCGCTGTCGACGCGCGCTCTCTTCCGTTCGCTACCTTCGCCACCCTAGCCCTTCTCGTGGCCTGGTTCGTTTCTGGCATGCTCTCTGCGGCTTTCGACCATCTTGCGGCACTGGCACCCCTCGCTGCATCGCCCACAAGGCTATAGCTGACTGCCGGTCGTAAAAGCCATGGCCCACACGCGCGATGCACTCCGAGAGATCGCGACACCGCGCCGCGCTGCTCGCCAGGGACTGCGTCGAGCCAGATCAGCTGCGGCGACCGGGGGGTAGCCATGGAGAGAGAGTTGTGGAATGCCAACAGCCCAACAGCCCCTTATATGCCAGTAGTACCTCTGATGCCTTGGCCCCATCTCCCTCCGCTGGGATAGCATTGAATTTGCAACTGCCCTGCGCCCTCGCAGCGCCTCGGACTCCGTACCTGCGTCCGCCCATTGACCGTGGCCCGTCTACATTGCGCGCATGCTGTACTGCGTGCAGAGTGCCCCGCCCGCCATCCCACCGCATCTGCAATGGAGAGAGGGAGGGGGGAACGCATGGCGCCACCCTTGCCGATGACTCATTTTATCGACTGGGCTGGGCGAACTGGACGTTGCCAGGCAAACCTTTTTTCCCAAGGCGTTACTCTGGTATTATGCTTCCCGTTCAGCTCGGAACTTCAGGGCCATTTCGCGCGTTCTACAATCTGGGGCGACACGCCTGAGTTTGGCGAGGCGCTCAACGTTCATGCTCATCGATTCTGCTATTCTTCCATCAACCGAAAGGTTTCTCATCCTCTCCTGAGCGCCGTTGGGCGCTCCAGCTCTGCCCAATTGCCACAGGTAGGGCTCTCCAGAAGCAGCCCCCTCATTGCGCGATGCTGACGCCGATGTTGGTGCCGCGTGCGTGCTTGCGCGTGTCGCCCGCGGCCCGGCGCTCTCCCCCAGGGTCTTGTCGCTTCGAGAAGACCTCGCTAGTGCAAACGCCCCTTCCGAGCTCTGCGGTGCAACGCTCCAGGAAAACATCGCTACTGCCACCGCCCCCTCGGGACTCCGCGATGCAACGCCCCGAGGACACCCCCATGCCACCACCTCTTCCGCGCTCAGCGGCGCCGACGCTGAACTTCCCGCTCCGACTTGGGACCCAACGACTGGGACTCCGCGCCTCCCGCGTAGACGAGCAGCGCCCCCATCGCCATCCTCAGGTTGCGGCCCGCGAACTGGCCCAGCTTCGCCCAGGCGCGTTCCCTCATGTCGTTCGGAAGCACTGCCCTGAAGTGGAAGGACTCGTTGATGCCGATCTGGAATTTGCCCAATCCCTCAGCGCAAAACTACTCCTCGTTCGGGTTCCTCTGATTGCTGTTGCGCGCCTTGTAGCTCTCGCTGGCCACGCACATCTTGATCGTCTCCATGATCATTGCCTGTCGGTGCTCGCTGTTGTCCTCCATCAGCTTCAGGGAATCGCGCGGCGTGTCCCTGGCTCTGTCAATTTAAACTGGTACTGTCGCTTCGTCTTCTCTCTGCCATTCCGACGCCATATCCCGTGCCTTCCAGGAGCGCCATGCCCGCGTGACTACCTGGCGATCCCATCAGTCGCCCCTTGCCCTCGTCCCTGACCTGGTTCCCGTAGCTCTGCCCTGCTGCCAGCGACTTCCGAGACGCGAGGTTGCTGGCTGGTATGAGGTAGAAATCAGATGCCATGTGGTTCACGTCTCTGATCTCTGCCCCGGAGCGAAGGGCCAATCATTGAAGCCCGTTGGTTCTCCTTTCTAAGAAGAGAACAAATAGACTCTACCCCCTCCCCCCCCCCCGGACTCATCGGCCCTCCCTGGGACAGTTTGATTTCATATATATATATATATATATATATATATATATATATAAAACATATATATAGATATTCTGCACACTCGCCCGTCATAAAAGTGAAATCATATCATCCCAGCCAAACAGGGTTCACCCCCTGAGGTTCTCATGTTAAAAAAATATGCGGTGACATTTTTTGTTCTACCAAAGCACTTGTTCACAAGCCCCTTGAAAAAACTGCGACGAAAAGCACGCGCGCGCGTCGTCGCGCGCGCGTGCCGAAATCCTTCACAAACCTTGGGTGCCAGAAAAATTTCGCAACTCTGATTTGCTCCAAAAGCTTCCGCGCGTGCTCTTGCGAAATCTGAAGAAACCCATGGGTTTTTCAAGATTTCACAACATGCTACCAAACGGGCGTCGCGCGCGCGTGTCGAAATCTGTCGAACGCCCCTGCGCGTGTGCCGTCGCGAAAATCCCCACGAAGTGCAGAAGGGCGCGTCGTCGCGGGCGCATGCCGAAAACCTTCAAAACCCATCCGTTTCGGAAGGAATTCAAAATCGCGCGTCCAAAAAAACATACAAAAACAAAAGCTTCGCAACACGGATGTCCGACAAAAGCGTGCGCGCGCGCTCTTGCGTCGTCGTCGTCGTCGCCGTCCCCCCTCCTC